AATTCAACCTATCATGATACATATTGTATCGTGGCTTAAATATCGTGATAGGTATTGATATAGAAAAGTTGTATCATCCCAGCCCTATATAAATGTATTCAAAAATTGAATGTATAAAACTAACTATAAATGAGATATGTGCATTAATTATTTTTTGATTATGATAATGTAGACATATGCAAACATAAATAAGCATTCTTTTTGAAATTGATTAGAAAAATATGAAATCCTAGTTTCTGCACTAATGTGTACAGCATTATAAATTGGTAAAACAACCTTATTACTGAAATATCTACAGGATTCCTTGTATTTTTTTTTTGTCTATTAATTTTTAGAAAATTCAGTAAATTAGATGATGACTAGTTATACAGGCCCATGGCAGTTGGTATATCAGTAAATTGTTGATTGTACAAGATTGACATAATCACATCTCCCAGCTGGAACAATTAACCTGCTGAAAGCAATAAGAAAAGATACAAAACACATCAGTGTCAGGGGCTGTACAACACAACATTTCCCACTCCTCGACATTATGTAATCACAGCTAACACATGAAATGGAAGTCATGCTTCACTCTAATGGGTCTGAGAGGAGGAATATTACAGTTCATGCTACAGATACGTGTCACTCAATTTATCTCTATGCTTAGGAAAAGTGTCTCCCATGGAATTCTTCTTAAAAAATTGCAGTGGTAATATAGTAGAAAAATGTATATAAATGTGTTCTTCTTTATTCAGAGGTGAAATTTTGAAAAGAAGTAAATTTTCACAAATTGTAGAACTGAATTCGCAGACATTGAGAATTATAAAATAATTTTATACTTATTTGAGTTTTATTTTTGGATATATGAATGATGTAAAATGTAAAACATATCCTCAATAAAATCAATCTAAATATTTTTAGTAAGATTGATGACAGAATGTTATAAAGTTCTACATCTTTCCAAGTTTTCACTGTATTAATTGAGACATTGATCACCAGCTATACATGCCAAATTAAGACATGCTAATGGAGATGAGCTAATGGAAGGGAGGTCTTATTAATTATTCCAATGCTGGGTACTGTTACACTGGACCTCAATTTTTAACTCTACTGGTCAGAGACTAGAAGAGCTTTAATTTTGCCATTGCAAAGTGTTCATTGTCTGTCTGTCTATTTGTCTGTCTTTCTATACACAATTTTTCAAAATGCTACCTCGGACAGTTTTGGTCTTATTTCAATATAACTTGGTATACAAGTAGACTACACTAAGATGCATATAATTCTTTTATATGTTTTTTATTTCAATGAACCTTGTTGTCATATTGGTTGCTAATCAAAATAGATTTCTGTGGATTTTTTGTCAAAGTGCTACTTTTACTACATTTTTGGTTTGATTTCAATACAGCTTGGTACACAAATAAACTACATTAAAATACATAATTCTGTATATTGTTTATGTCAATGAGCGGTGTTGCCATGGTTACTAAAAATAGAAATTTCTGTGAAATTCTTTCAAAATGCTACTCCTCCTACATTTTTGGTCTGGTGTCAATTTAGAATTTCAGTTGGACTACACTAACATATACAATTCTATTTATCAGTTTTTGATTTAAACGAACTGTGTTGTCATGAGTACTAAACAAAGAAATTCTGTGAAATTCTTTCAAAATGCTCGTCCTCCTACATTTTTGGTCTGGTTTCAGTTAAACTTGGTACAAAAGTAGACTGCACTAACAGTATACAATTCTATAATTTATCAGTTTTTGAGTTTAATGAACTGTGTTGCCATGAGTACTAAAAATAGAAAATCTGTGAAATTCTATTAAAATGCTACTTCTCCCCCAGTTTTAGTCTGATTGCAATTAAACTTGCCTTATAAGGGACTAAACCAATAAGCATTACTTTATTTATTGCTGTTGCCATAGTTTCTGAGTCATATCCAAGTGCTACCTTTTACGAACAGACCAGGTGATCTACAGTCTCCTGAGAGACTTCTGCTTTTTAGGATCTCAATCATTTCAACTACAATGTACCATGACTCTCAAATTACGGATGCAAAGTATAGGGCAATAGGAGCTTGTATGTATATTAAGTCATAGGTCGTTCCTGGTTAGAGATGAACTTGTGACCTTTCCAACACAATTGAGGCAAATCCCAAGTTACAACATTTGTTAAGTCATCATGGCAATTATATATTTTTGAGATGGAAGTTGAGTAAAGTGTTCAGTTTGGTTGGGGATACTATACCAGTAGCATAACTTTTGCAACAAAAAAAATGTGAGCTTTAAAATGTGAATCCAGAAGGTCACCAAAAGTTGATTGGATAATCTGAAATATAAAAAAGTATTAGTCCTCTGTATGTAAAGGAGAAACATGATTTAAATTGTTGGCACTTAATTGAACAAAGGATGTTCCTAGAAATGCATTCTTGGATGAAGGGGGATACAAATTTGCTCAAATGAAGGAGCATGCCCACTTCCAAGAATGAGGAAAAATTTATAGTATCTTTCAAAAATCTTTTTCTCAAAAACCACTGGGACAGAAAAAAGATGAAACTTATGTGAAAGCTTCATTACATAGTGTAGATTCAAGTTCAAACCAGGACTCCTAGGGGTAGGGTGGGGCCACAGTTTTACATGGGAATATACAGGAAAAATCTTTAAAAATCTTCTTCACAAGAACTGCAGAGCCATGGTTACTCATGTTTATATGGAAGTTTCCTCAGGTAATGCAGGTTCAAGCTTGCTCAAATCATGACCCCAGGGGGTAGGGTGTGGTCACAATGGGTGTTCAAATTTTTACATGGGAATATATTGAAAAATCTTCTTCTCCAGAATAGCAAAGCCATGATTATTAGTCATTTTTATATGGAAGCATTTTAAGGTAGTGTAGTTTCAAATTTGTTCAAGTCATGACCTCCAAGGGTAGGGTAAGGCCACAATAGATCATTAGAGTTTTACATAGGTCTGAAATATATAAGGAGGGGGGTCTACTTATGAAGAACAGGTGGGCCATAGTAACCTGTGCAAGAGTTGTGGTCCATGGGCCTCTTGTACCAGAAATATAGATTGATGGGATTAGAATTTTTTCTTCTTCATCTGGCAATTCTCCTGAATCTGTGCAAGAAATAAATGGTACATATTGCAGACAGGTGCAGTTAGCTTATGTAATGACAACTCATACTCCCTTAGCTAAATCATTAAACATTCAGCCTGAAACCTGTAAATAGTGAGCATGTGAATGGAGACTGATGGGGCTATATATCTACTGTAATGTGAGCTGTAGTCAGTCATTCGTTTGTCCTACTTAGCTAGCCTGGGCACACATGCTATCAATTTTGACTGAGTAACTTTATTCAAACAAGATGTTTGTACCTGTATATTGATATGATTTGATGAATATTTTGTTGTTGTTTTTTTTTTTATTTTAAAATGCATTGTCGTGAAATATTGCTTTACTTTGCTTTATATGCAGAAAAACTTTCTGAGAATTTAAGCACTGTAACCCTTATGCAGAGTGACAATGGAGTTTGTGTCTTAATATATTGACAGTGCAGGCAATATGGCCACTCTCTGTAGCAATCATATCTCTTAACCTACAACTGTAAGGACACACATCTGATTGGGCACAGAGTTAATTCAGTTATAATTACCATAAGGTTCCCTTGACCACTTGAATCTACTCAGATGTTCATATACCTACTGAATTTTAGAATCTTCACATCCTTTGGTCATGGGATCGCATTTCTAAGAGAATGTCTGTTAAATGAATGTTTAATCTCAGATAACAGCATCAAAAGTTCTTGACCACTTCAGAATCACCAGCGGATGAAACCATTGACCTCTGACCTTCGTATGACCTGCATCTGTGGGGGGGTCATCCTAGTGTATGCCCCCTGTAAGGTGTGTTAATGATAACTTTGTACTTTATACTTCTCCCTGTGTAAGACTTCCTGTATGTGTGATCTCAGGTGCCTGCTTCCTGATAGATTCAACTCTGTCATGTGTCAGAGTTGTAGAATTGGCAGAGGATTTGGCATCGCTCCTTCCCATGTGATGGAAATGGTTGCGGATGAACGGATGTGACACCATTTTAGGTGACCCTCAGCTGAAGGTCATGGAATCTTAGAAGAATTTATCATTTGGATTAGATAAAGTGAAATTCTAAATGCACAGAATAAGAATTTATGGCATGTTCTGTCACTAATCACTTTTATTATGTAATATGTATGGCTGTACTTTCACTCCTGACAGTCAGAGACAGGATAAAAACCTGTACTCATTATAAATCATTCAATTTCAGTGTAAGAAAACTGATGTTTTCAATAGATTCTGCTGCACATGGGTATGTTGTTGGCAAACTCTGGACCATTCTGGATATGGTGTATCTTGAAACCAGGACAAAAAGTTAATGATATGTTAAAATTATTGGGAAGGTTTATAACCAATAAAAAGCTATTATAGTGGGAGTGGGAAAAAACGAGAACCACAGGAGTTTTTTATGTGAGATGTTTATCTCTTTCAAAAAAGAAAATAAAACTTGCTGCTCTTTTAAGAGGTGCTCTTGACCTGCTAGTTGATGGGTCTTACTCTAGAGGTTGTGGATTGCCTGTCAAGAACAGCAGGGCTTTTAACTTTAATAAATGTCACTTTGTATTAGTGGTGTCGCTCTCTCTTGCTCCTGCAGCCAAACGATGTAATCAAAAAAATCTGCTGCAGAATACTGCACAACTTAAAAACCTGCAGTCAAATTTGTATCTAAAATTTTGGGAAAAAATACGCAGATACACACCGCGATGTGAATTCTCTGTTGTAGGTTTTAGTTGTATCATTTGGAAAGGAAAACATGCCTTGAAAGAATTTGAATGAAGTATGATCAAAAAAAGGGTGAAAAAATATTTCTTTTGTTTTTTTTAATTCCATATGCATTTCTGGAATTACACTTCAAACGAATGTATATCAATTTTTGCTGAATTTGTACTACAGATATGATAAAGATTGCCTGTTGTTTTTTTTCAGTCCTGATTGCTATGGGCTCAACATGGCTGATCGGCACCAGAGAGAGGACATCAGCTTATGGGCAGGAGTACAGGTAATTTTATATTGTCTGTCTGTCTGTCTGTCTATATGTTTTATGTTGTTTATACAACAGCACAGTGAACTAAACCATCACATTCGCTAATTTGTCAGTAGGTGCATGTTACATAATTCAGTATCTTTTAATATCCATTCTCATATTTACTTTTAAATAAATGTGTGTTTGAAATGTTGTTAGTTAAGTAAGTTTTCTTTTGATTTCAACATGTCAAACGTCTTTTTTTTTCTAAGTGGATGTCCTTTAAAATACATACTAAATATATATGAGGTTTGAACTTTTGTCATTTTGGGATGGGGACTAAATTGGTTTACATTTTATATTTACATGTAGGAAAAAAATAATAATATGAAAAAAAAAAAGAATGTGCCTCATAAGAGTTATGAAAAAAATTGTCAACTAAAAGAGTCCTTTATATTAATTAATGGTTTAATTTCCATTGTATAATTTTTATTCTAGAGACTGTTTCATTATTTTTATGATGAAGTTACTGAGAGACCTGCACACTTGAGTAATTTGTCAAAGGGATTTCTAGCTTCTATTCTGTTCTAAGTCATGTTACTGCCAAATACAATGAATTGCTTTCAATATAGTAATAATATTATACAAGTGGGTGTTGTAGTCTGTTTATATTTAAACATCAAGAAGAATAAGAATTTTTAATATGAATTTTGGTACATTTCTTTCTTTGTATTATTTAATGATATAACAAATAAAAATTTGATTTATAAGATTGAGAGAGTGTAAACATATAGGTGCAGAAGGAATAGTTCTTTGGACTAGTTATGGCATTATGACATATATATCTATTAGTTGATGTAGATAATAATAAAAATTCTTAAATACTTAATTTCAGAACATTTCTTGTTATGCTATTCAAATTCTAATAGCAATATTGGTTTAATAGTCTTTGAAAAAAAAAAATGAAATTTTGACAGCATAGATTTTTTTAAAAGACTTGTAGGCATTTCAGAATTATTTATAGCAATATTGATTTAATAATAATCTTTTAAATGAAATATAAATTTTTTGAAAGCATTGATTTTTTGGAAGAATTTTAGGCATTATTTTATGTGTTTTATTGCCAAAAAAAAAAAAGAAAGAAAGAAAGTAAACCAATTGCTGTTTTGCTGTTTGGAATGATTACCTTCATAGAATGAGGACACCTTCTAATGCTCACTTTGACAACACTTTTCTTATTAGAGTCTGTGTGACTGGACCATTTTTTTAAACCACCAATTTGATGCCTCTATGACAAAGTTTAATTCTATCTGGAGGCATTCATTCTGTCATTACTAGATCTTTACCTTGTGGAACACATCTTAATACTTATTAATTATAAATAAATTTCCTCAAAATAAAATTACAAGAAACATTTGCTTTTTGTGATCAAAACCAAAAAAAAAAATATGTACATAAAATGTACAAGTGTGGTCTGAATGTTGCATATCTAAGAATAGTGCACACACTACACAGCATGCAACCACATTGTATCATGAGAGCACATCAACTACTGTGTGGATGTGACCTTGACCCCAAACAGACTGTCTGTGTTATGTCTGTGTTTTGTCTAGTAGATAATCTGATACAGAAGTACAGGTAGATAGTGACCCCAGTGTGACCTGTCCTCCATTCACAGCCCCCAAATAAAAACATTGTAAGAATTGACATTTTCCTCAGGGGCTCTTCAATGTGACAGGATAGTTCTCAGCAGGCCCTGTGTAAAATGAAATGGGAAGAAAACTCCATCAAAGTTTTTCTTGGCTGATAGACAAGATTCAACGCAAAAGATAAGAACCACACAATCGTCATGTAAGGGCTTATCTGGTGAGGGAAGTTGAATGTTGCATTTTATCAGTGGTGAAAAGGAATGCTAAGCTGGGATGCACTTTTTATCAGAACCTGCACGGGTAAATATCTGTCTCAGGTGCGGGCAATTGATGGCATATTGCTGATGCCGGGGAGAGTAGGGTCTGTACCAAGTGTATATGGTGATCTCACGTAAAGGGATATGTGGGAGTATATGATACTGCTCTAGACTGTACATATCTATGAATTGGTAATGATTTAGATAGACCATCTGTAATTGCAAGCACGATCAGTCATGTAAATATGTTATGGTACAGGCAAGTCTTCTATGTCATATCTGATCTATGGGGATTTCTTTGTCTTCCGGGTTCATATTTATTTGTGTTATTAGTTTAGCATTGTCCTTTATAGTTTATATGATTTCTTAAGGTGGATCGCATCTGCAATGTTTAAAACTCCCACCTGCACAATGACATATATATTGGTTACCAATGGTAGGAGAGATGTCAAATATTTAAAAATAAAAGCAATACCAGGTTATTCCTTTTCTAGCATTAAGGATTAATTAATTAATATTATAACAACTTTTAGAAAAAAAAATCCAGAGCCATTATATGTGACCTTGACATCTGAACCAGAATGACATTTTTTGTGCTATAGGTATCAGAGCCTGACCTCTAGTTAAAGCTTAGGTGTATAGTAGCACCTGGTGTACTAAGTGGCCACTGGGATACCTGTCTCTGATAGAAAACATGGATCATTTAAGTATCTTGTAGCTGTCATAAGATTGGATAATATGTCACTGAATCACACTCCTCCTCATCTTTGATAATTTTCACAGGTCACTGAGTTTTTGACAGTGTTATACATTTGGAACAATATCAGTGTGACATTGTGACTAACAAGGCTTTTTCTGCATGTTTATGTAAATAGGTGATATTATGAAATTATGCTTATGAATGAAATATCTTATGACTGACACCTGAAATTTAACACTGTCATCAATTAAACTTAACCATGACACCGTTTTTAAGTACATCTACTTATATAAATAACATCAGTAAGTAACCCAGGTTCTAAAAAAAAAATCATAAAGTGCAAAAGTTGTAATTATTCTTGCTAATGTATTACATTAGCAAAGAAAGCTTTAATTTTTGATAATTCTTTAAAAAGCTGTGAAGCGAGACTGGTTATATAATCTAATTAATATCAAATGCAGGTGTAAAGGAGACATGCTTCTTCTTTCCTGATACTGAACTCAAATGGCAGATCTTATTGGAGTTTATTTTAGTTATACGTGTGACACTTTATTTAACAAAGTTCAGACTAGTAAACTTACAGAACTTGAAGATTCTGTGTTGTTAACTATGGAATATATATGTATCACAAATTATTCTTAGGCCCTGTGCAGTTTATTGACAGAGTAATCAAATTCATGATGAATTTTTCTGTGCAAGTTTTTCAGTTGTTGTTTTAAGATAGTGACAAACTTTACTATATGTCATAAGATTATTGTTTCAAATTTTTCATAGGTGAACAAAATCATTGAATATATGTAAATATATCTGATAGTACACTTCTTCTTCCCATAGGGTATAGTCATATAAAACATGCACATCCGCTGTAAGTTATCACACACTACTGCACCTGCAAGATAATGTAACATAATCACTAATTTAGAACTAATACACTTTAAAAAGAAAATCCCTTGTGTTTTAAGTTTTCATTGTAAGACAGCCATGTAGAACTTTTTATTCTGTAAGATCCTATATCGGATACAATATAGTCACTAGCAAAAATTGAATTGTTCCATCCAGTAAAATGATTATTTGTAGCAATTCATGATATGTAAAATAACTGATACCACATATGTCAGTGCTACTGGGTTAGAGCTGTAACACTTGCCTGCGTCACTTGAATCACACAATGCAGGAGTATGTGCGTGTGACTTTGATGACATCCTACAATTGTTCCATTGAAATATAACTGATATTTGTTTAAAATAAATGATGTTAAAAAAAATAAAATAAAACAAAAATTATAATTTTATTGTTTAGATTCTTTAGAATTCCCACATTTATTTCAATGGAACTGATTTTGAAACTAATTACTATATTTTTTGTTAAGTGTATAAACTTTTTTTAGCTCAGGTAAGCTGAATGCTCAAGCAAGCTTTTCTTATCAAAATTTGTCTGTTGTCTGTAATCTTTGTCGTCGTAATTGTCATTGTCATCATTGTAAACTTTTTTATAGTTTCTTCTTCTTCTGCAGAACCACTGGGCCAATTTCCCATTTTCTTTTTATCATGACTTCTATCAAATGACTTGTGATACGAAAAAAATGTGTTTTTGACGATTTTGTCACAAATACCTTGATTAAAAAAAATGATTTTTTGAATCTTATTCCTTCTCAGGTGAAAAGACCTAGAACTCCTTACTCATCACAGAAACAGTCATCTAGAACTCTCTCACTTACCCATCACAGACACAATCATCTAGAACTCTCTCACTTACCCATCACAGAAACAATCATCTAGAACTCTCTGATACCCACCACAGAAACAATCTTGTAGAACTCTCTCACTTACCCATCACAGAAATAATCATCTAGAACTCATTCACTTACCCATCACAGACACAATCATCTAGAACTCTCTGTTACCCACCACAGAAACAATCATCTAGAACTCTCTCATTTACCCATCACAGAAATAATCATCTAGAACTCTCTCACTTATTCATCATAAAAACAATCATCTAGAACTCTCTCACTTACCCGTCACAGGCACAGCATCTTGAACTCTCTTACTTACCCATCATAGAAACAATCATCTAGAACTCTCTCACTTACCCATCATAAAAACAATCATCTAGAACTCTCTCACTTACCCATCACAGACACAATCATCTAGAACTCTCTCACTTACCCATCACAGACACAAACATCTAGAACTCTCTCACTAACCCATCACAGACACAAACATGTAGAACTCATTCACTTACCCATCACAGAAACAATCATCTAGAACTCTCCCACTTACCCATCACAGAAACAATCATCTAGAACTCTCTGTTACCCATCACAGAAACAATCCTCTAGAACTCTTTCACTTACCCACCACAGAAACAATCATCTAGAACTCTCTGTTACCAATCACAGAAACAATCATCTAGAACTCTCTCACTTACCCATCACAGAAACAATCATCTAGAACTCTATCACTTACCCATCACAGAAACAATCATCTAGACCTCTCTCACTTACCCACCACAGAAACAATCCTCTAGAACTCTCTCACTTACCCATCACAGACACAGTTATCTAGAACTCTCTCACTTACCCATCACAGAAACAATCATCTAGAACTCTCTGTTACCAACCCCAGACACAATCATCTAGAACTTTCTCTCTTACCCATCACAGAATCAATTATCTAGAACTCTCTGATACCCACCACAGAAACAATCATCTAGAACTCTCTCACTTACCCATCACAGACACAATCATCTAGAACTCTCTGTTACCCATCACAGAAACAATCATCTAGAACTCTCTCACTTACCCACCACAAAAACAATCATCTAGAACTCTCTGATACCCACCACAGAAACAATCTTGTAGAACTCTCTCACTTACCCATCACAGAAATATTCATCTAGAACTCATTCACTTACCCATCACAGACACAATCATCTAGAACTCTCTGTTACCCACCACAGAAACAATCATCTAGAACTCTCTCATTTACCCATCACAGAAATAATCATCTAGAACTCTCTATAACTTATTCAATACAGAAAAAATCATCTAGAACTCTCTCACTTATCCATCATAAAAACAATCATCTAGAACTCTCTCACTTACCCATCACAGAAACAGTCATCTAGAACTCTCTCACTTACCCATCATAGAAACAATCATCTAGAACTCTCTCACTTACCCATCACAGACACAATCATCTAGAACCTTCTCACTCACCCATCATAGAAACAATCATCTAGAACTCTCTCACTTACCCATCACAGAAACAATCATCTAGAACTCTCTCACTTACCAACCACAGAAACAATCCTCTAGAACTCTCTCACTTACCCATCACAGACACAGGTATTTCTGTTACAAATTATGGGGCATTGCCATTTATATGGAAAACTTTAAAGATCATTTCTCCAAGATTTAGAACTTTTTCAGTCATAAAATTTTGTTATATTAGAACTATCATCTTTCAGTTTCAAGATGTTGTGACATGTGTATACATATAATGTAGATACTTCTACTTTCAGTATCACTTAACTTATGTAGAAACTCGGTTTAGCTGATTAGTTGAGTGTATAGTACACTCTCCTTATTCTTTTTTTTTTTTTTGGGGGGGGGGGGGGGGGTAGCATATTTGTAAAGAACAGACTCTAGCTTGATACCAAAGGTACAAATTATTAATATACAGTAATACACAATACCAAAGGTACAAATTATTAATATACAGCAATATACAAATTATTATAAAGAAATGATGTTGAAATGATACTAATAATGTTTTTAAGTGAATAATTATTTAGAGAGAAATTTGAATCTTATATGACAGAATCGGGGGGGGGGGGGGGGGGGGGGGGGATCTGAAGTGAAAATAAATATGTGTGATTAAAATCTGAAGATGGTTTCATATATCTGGACTTGACATACTTCATACTGGCACTCTGCAGTGAAATGTAATGCTTTTACTATGGAATTTTAAGAAAAATTTAACAATTTTGAAGTTTATTATGTGAATAATGGTTGTGTTAAAATTTGATACATACTCTACATATTTCAAAGATACCACTAAGCCATTAGGAGTGGTTTGTTTTTTGTATATCTAGCAGCTTTCCTCAGCAGTGGGTATTGGTGCTTGATGGATTGTCTTGTCTCTGTAACTGACACACAACTGCCTTGCGTCTTCATTCCCCAAAAATTTGTGTGTGGGAAATTACTGAATGGTATTTTTTTTTGTATCAAATATTTCATGTCTCTTAAGAGGAGTGTTTTATTTCATAATTATGCATAATTAGACGTGAAGAAATCGAGAAAGATGACATTTAACAAGTTTGTTTAATTTTTTTCCCTTTGTTATTTTTTGTTTTTTTAATAAACAAGTCATTTATAAGTGGAAGAAATCTCCATTTTGTGTTTTTGATAATTGTGTAATTACGACCACAGATTGTTGTAAGTTGGGAGTAAAAATGATGTTAATGGAAAAGTATTCAGTTGCTCAACAATTTCATTCATAAAATAAGGAACATGGCAATTAAAAATTCATTTAAATCTTATCTCCATTAGAGGGGGTTATTTCTGACAACATACAATACAAATGACCACCTATCATGAATAAATATCATAAATCATTTTGTCTTAATAGAAAATAGTTTTATTTTCAAAAACAAATGCAATTGGAGGCTTTCATTGAAAATTATTCAAATGTTGAATGATTCATTGTCACACAAAGTTCCTAATTACGAAAATGGCTTTCAAAATAAAATCAACACCAAGTTTTGGTGCTACTGCGGTGCTTAGAGTTATTCCTCTTTTGGTACCACAAGCTTAAAACATCTTTTATCTTAGGTTGATGAAAATGGTTTTAATTAAGAAAAAAAAAATTATGAGATTTATAGCTAGTACACTTTACAGAAATGTGTTAGTTGATAAAACATGAAGATTTAAAGAAGTTTATGCATGCTACTATAGATATAATAGCTGTAAAATTCACTATGCTGCATGAAAGGTATAATCAATTTGTAAAATAACATTGTCAGCATCCAATATATGAGCATGTTGTGACATTGTATCTAACTTCTTTGCAGCATAACAATGCTGCCCTATTTCTAATGGCAAATCTCGGAATGTTGTAGAAGAATTTTTATAACAAATTTATATCTGGTATAATGTTCTTGTCATCTAGTCATTGAAAGAATAGTAAGTTTATTGGCCTCCCTAATGTTTCGATTATCAGTGATGATTCTCATTTGGGCACCAAAAACCGCCACCTTAAGCACACACACTGACAAAATAATTAAATGTATTGAACAAGGCAAAACATAAATTATTTGTTCATATATATTGGGAATTCTTTATAGTGCTTGTTAAATAATGAATGTGCGCGGCATTCTACTGGGATATGTGGCTCTGCTTGAGTGATTATGGTCCTGCGGTAGACAATTACTAGGGATGATAGATAACAGTGCGACATGCAGTGTTGTCTGTCTGGCATCAGTCAGGTGTGTCAAGGTGACATAAGCCTGTCTGGTTAAAGTTCTCTCTAATACAGGTTCACTCCATCTGTTACCTAGTCTGGGGTATTTCTGGATACTACAACATAACCATTCAATGTCAGCCATTAGGACATTGTCAATCAGATTAAAAGACTTCACACATTTTAGCTATCATTAAATCAGTGTACAGATGATTAAATTATTGTTTGATGCATCAGGTGTTAATGATATACAAAGTACACTGGGGAGAATTAAACTGTAATGTGATAGATGCCTTTCATCAAATAGAAGGATGAAGATTTCAGTTTAATATTTGTTTAATGATGATTTGAGAGGTGCCTATAAAGCTACCCAAAACTTATTTTTAAATTAAATAATTAAGAATAATTAAAAAGTGAGAGTGGGAGGAATATACTATTATTGCTGTATGTATAGTATTTAAAGCCTGCTCAAACTAAAAGTATATTTTTTGAAAAGTTAATTTAAAGGAAAAAAATGCATTATGTTCAATGATTGTTCAGGTAGAAAGAGGTAATTAAGAAATAATAAATATGCCATCAATATTGAGCTAATAAGAGTATTTGGAATTATAATTTTAAACAGTCCTTTTGTGTATTACAGAGCCCAGCTGTGGGGGATATGTCCACTCAAGGAATGTCAGCAGGTAAGTCCATTTTATGTTACGGTTATATTTTAGGCAATATGCAAGACAATATTGTATCATAATGTCAGACAGGTAAGTCTATATTGTAAATATTATCATAGGCATCAGGTAAGTCCATGTTGTCTTACAGGACAGGTAAGTCCATGTTGTCTCGCAGGACAGGTAAGTCCATGTTGTCTCACAGGACAGGTAAGTCTATACAGTAGATATTAATTTATACAGGTAAGACCATGTTGTCTTACAGTATTGGACAGGCCAGTCCTAAATTAAGTCTCTTTTATAATTACAAGCATTGTACATTTTAGTCCATATCAGACAGATAAATCTAGGTTGTATATTGCAATTATTGAACAGGGAAGTCCATATAGTTAAATAATATAGTGTTATAATATATTTAATGATATTGGACAAGTATAATTTATGATATTGGACAAGTCTTTATTGTATATATAATTAAAGATATTAGACAGGTTAGTCCATATTGTTTACATGAGTACTGGGGATACCTGTAAACTGTAATATGTTTAATTACAGGCATTAGACAGGTAAGTGGATACATGTGTATTTTGATGTAGATTTACAGCATTAGACAGGTGTGTCTATTACAGGCATAGTATAAGTAAGTGGATAAATAGAGTGTTGTATGAGTTTATATTAGCTTTATTCAGTTTTACTTGTGAGGACTGTATACTCACAGGACTGTGTCCAAAGTTGTTCCCCATATTTATATAAAATCCAATCAGAAGTGTGGGATAACACATCACCTATATAGCTATGTTTTCTTAAATGGGTTATGAAATTTTATTAAATTTTTATTGCTCTATGAGTTCAAACTCACTACTACTGACTAGAAAACGGGAAAATATAGGTAAATATCAACCTTTTGATGCTTAGAACTACCTATGCTTATTGAAAAATCACTGAAAGGAAGTATCAAATAAAGGAGGAAACACACATTTTATTATTAAAACCAGTTGCCAGAAAATAGTATAATGTGGTTACCAGAAAGCAGACAGGAGGCTGAAATAAATCACAGAGAAGCAGGACAGCCTTCCAGTCCTAGCTGAGTCAATTACTCACTTGATTGGCATGTAAGCACAATCAACACTTAGAGAAGTCAAGAGTAAATGACAATGAAATCTGTATAAGAGGACCCAAGTCTTGGTTTGAGAGATAGAGAACTTTCAGAGATTGAAAGTTCCAGAGATCAGGAGTAAATTTGATTAGTGATATAGAGGAAAAAATGGTAGCAGGATTTTACTTCAAGAGATCGGAATTTTAGTGATATAGAGGAAAAAATGGTAGGATTTACTTCAGGAGATCGGTGTTTTAGCCATCAAGAGTCAACTGTATACAATTTTACTATTTCTTGCTGTTATGATTTATGAAGAGAATTGATAAAACCATAAATATTGTAAAGAGATACACTGGTGCAAAAACAGGAAAATTGACAAAAATAGATTTTTACATGGTCCATTCAAATTTTAATTCCTTGAAGTATAAGGTTTCATAAAATTACAAGTTTCTGAACTGAACCTAAAAAGTCTACCATAAATGGCAAACAAAACAAAACAAAACAAAATTTGTCTAGCCCAATATGAAAACATTGCTTTACTCCTTCCTCCATATTGTGCACTGGCAGTCAGAAAAGGTGACCCAAGTTGCCATGGTCTCAAGTACCAAGAAGTGGAATGTTGGTACACTGAGGATTTTGATACAATCTTTAAAGAAGATAATCATCTAACATACATGTTGTTGACAAGTTTTATGCTATAAATAAAAGTCACATGACATTGATATGGAAGATAACAATGATGCATTTAGATACAACCTTTGTTATTTTTTCTGGCGATTATATATTTTGCGTGCTTTGATTTCTTAATTTACAATGCAGTTGAATTTGTCAAAATTTTGCCATACATTTTATAAATCTTTCAATTTATTATAAAAATATCATAAAAGAAACATGTGATTTTGATTCACAACGTCTCTTTAAGGTATGTGGCTAAGGTCTCTTTAAGTCTCTTTAAGGTGTGTGACTAAGGTCTCTTTAAGGCATGTGGGTAGGGGACAAGTCCCCAGACTTCCTGCCTTCCAAGAATATTAAATTTTAAAACCTCTTACTTTTGCAAATATTCTACTTCTATTCTGATCAAACTTTCACTTCCTACAGATAGGGAGTTAGTGGTCATAAGGTATTGCTTATGGATTCCTTGTGTTTGAGTTGAATAAGTTTTGTTTTGTTTTTTAAATAAACCTTCTTTTACACCTGCAATTCACTATACGCCTTGTATTTAACTGGGATGATGGGTAGATAATGTTTGCCTTTCCATTGATGGCACAGGTCTTAAAACCACATGAAAAAGCTAGCTTGCATACAATGTATAGTGATAATAAGCAAGGTTTTGAACCATTTTCTATTGGATCTTTAGCTTTACCCATTACACCACTTAACTGCTTTCCTCTTTAAAGTGTCAAGTTTTTGCTCCAGTGACCACTTTAGCCTGATTCAAAACCTAACAAGTAGCATCTATCTCTTGTCAAGAAAAAAATATCTAGCTTATCCTAAAAAGACTGTTTCCTAGGAATTGTTCCCTGTAATCAAATATTGCTGGAAAGTAGAATGAAATTAGTCTGTGTTTATCTTACCTCAGTGTATATCCATGTGTTTAAACCAGCCCAGGTGTACATGACACAAACCTCACACAAGGTGACATAAGTTGGAAAAAAGCTAGCATTTGAAAATCTCCTGATAAGTGTTCGAGTATATTCTTATATCTCCTATGTAAGATACTTAACAAAGTCAAGATCCTCTTTATTTGTGAAAAGTTGCATTAAACAAGGAACTTAAAAAAAAGTTAAATGAAAAAAAGCTAGGTTCAGTTTCAGTAAAGTGATGTCCAGTAAAATACCTTACCTTGTGTACAGATTGTCTAATGAACTCTAGGGTTATATAGATAAATCTAAGTTTCTGTGTGCTTTCATGCAATTGGGGATGAATCAGCTCGAGGGATAGAGTTTACTGAAAAGTTTTTTTTTTTTTTTTTTTTTAAAACATGAACAGGATTTGTCAAATACAGGTTAATCTGGCTCATACAAGTGGGACGTATTAGGTGACATGTTACCTGTGAAATCACATTGTCTTGATAATAATAAATCATTAAATTCTTTAAGGTATCACTGCAGTCAAATGCATTAGGCAACACAGAAGGCCATGGGCACATACAAGTTTTCAGAGTTTCTGGCCAGTTAACACCTAAATTACCTGTCTTTCATAGGACAGTTTTTTTTTCAAATCTTGAAACTAGGATGTAGTTTGCATGGCCTTGAAGGTACTCCATAATTGGGTCAGAGTTATGTAATAGATGTCTAGCCGTGGAGCTGAAAGTGTGTATGACTAGAGAGAGGGTTTTTTTTCTGCCAACTGTGGGAGCTTTTTGGCATTTCCAAAACTGAAATATGTCAAATATTTTGACTGGAAAAACGTAGTTAAAACAGGAATTGTGTTAGGAACAAGCCATGATTCTACATACAGGTAAGATTTGATGGAACATTGATGGGAAAGGTAGGAGAATTAGCTTGTCCCATGTCAGGGGTGGGACGGCAGAATGTATGATTATTTTTAGATGTGCATGTATTGATTTCTGTATGTAGTGGTTCAGGGAGATGCAGATATGCACATCAAACATGCAGACATCCAGTCCATTTTTTATGATCTAAATGTTCACATCTGCTGTGATTTTTTTCTTTTCAATTCTTTTTATATGATTTGTGTTTTTTTTTTCAAATCTGGTTTACATGATTTAATCGCATCTTTTCCCCGTATTTCAGTCCTACACAGTGTCTTGTTTTATGTGACAGTGAACATTATTATATAATAGTTCTTTTGTTGCTTTTAATTTTAAAGAATTTCTCATGCATTTTCACAATTCTATAAGGTCAATGAAATGCATGAGAATGTTATAAATAAGAATTCTTTTGTTCCAAGTAGGATTAATACCTAAATAACATTCAAAAAAATGCAGGTGGTGCTTGTTAATTAAGACAGCTTTTATAGTGGAAAAACCAGATTATTTACTTCTTTAAAATGCCACTTCCTTCAAGAGATGTACAATTGCTGACTGATGTGTCAATATGCTTGCTTTACTGTCATCCTTTGTCTAAGTCAGAACACAGGAACTTTGTTCCATGATTGATGAGAATTTCAAATCTTATGAATGCTAAAAGTATATGCATGCATCTTCATTTACCCTCATAAAGCTAAGAATATGATTCCTCATTAGAAAGTATCATATGCTATTCAAATTTCAGTTTAATTTTGTTCAGTGACATATATTGGACATTAAACTTTGATAGCAAACAAACCAACCAATTTATATATCCTAAAATCCCTGTATAAGAATTTAGATAATATCCAAGCTTAACATAATCATAGTGCTGACTTAATATATCCAGGAATGAGGATTTGTATGAAATAATCAGTAAAATGCATCCATAGCTCCCTTTAAGCCCCTTTTAGGCTAGTATTCAGGTGTTAGCTGATACATCCTTATGTCACTAAGTGTGACATTCTGTAAGGAAGCTCTTGAGATTACGAGATGTTCAGTTATCTCCCTACCCCCCCCCCCCCCCAAAAAAAATGGGGGTATAATGTCTATGTTCTTATATCTGTCTGTTAAATCTGTAATATTTAGTCTTTACTTTTGAAACAATGTAGGTAAGCTCTTCAATTACTGGTCAGAGACCAGAATTTAGGAGCCTGTTATCTATCTGTCTGTAAGGCTGTGGTAAATAATAACTTTGTTTTACATCCCTTAATTCTTTGAAAAGGTACCCTCCAGTCCAACGAAAAAAAAAGAAACAAAATTCAAAAACATAACAAGAATTTAAGTAATTAGAAAATAAATTGCACACTAGCATTGACATGCTAAAAAAACATTTGAATTTCTTTTAAATTTCTGCTTTCCTCCTTAGGATTTGATGTTTCTTTTCTTTCAAAG